ATATATTAAAATAAAACAATTTATTTTTTGATTTTTCATTAAAGCCGATTTAAATCATTAAAAAAACATGTAAGTGCGGTGTTCTTGTTTTCAAAATTTTTCCAGAAAGCCTCTTACTAGAATTTTCTATGACAAAAACTGGGTGCGATAAAGCTTTTTTGCTTATTAGCATACTCTCTTCAAGGAATGAGAGCGAATGTGAGCGTGAGAATAGGTCGTAAGAAAGTACGAGAAGTAAATAAATTTTATTAGCAAACAATTTTTAATTAGTATTAGTATTACATAAAAAACACATCTAGATGTGTATAAGAGACAGCTCAAAAAGTTTAGACCCTTAAGAACTTAGCTTCCAAAGAATTTTTAAAAATTAAAATAATTTTAAGAATCACATATTCTACATAGCAAATTTAGTTAAATAGCGTTAATTATTTGTTAATTGTTAACCCATAAGACTGCATTTATTGGTTTAAACGCAGAAGTTAAGCAGCATTTAAGTGAATTTGGTGGCAAGCAAATTGTAAAGGAAAACCCAAAGTTTTAGCAAAAAATATAATTACATAGCTATTAAAAACAACAACAAAAAAGTGTGAAAAGCTAAATTTCGCAAAAATACAACAACAAACTTAACAGTGTTAGTGTAAAAATCAATGAAGTACAATAACAACTGGGTTTACTGCGCAAAAATTAGCCAGAACACAACAACAAATACAAGTGAGTTAAAAATACACTGGAAAATATAAGTGCACATACACATCCACAAGCAACCATCCAATAATAGTGTTGCATGCTAATTGCCGCTGTTTGATTGCTGACGATTTTTATTGGAGTTTAAGTTAATGGATTACCCGCACACACACACACATGTACGTCACTAATAATATTGGATTACTTGCGTTATGGCTGGAGTGTTATGAAGAGGATTACAAAGCGCTAAATTGATATGTGGTAAGTGGCAGATGATTAAAAAATAAAAGCCTGCAAAATTTAAAATTGTTTTTTAACTAAAACAAGTATTTTGTACCTCATTTTTTTCAACTACAAAATTTTTTTTTTATTTATAAATAAGCAAACATCTAATTTCAATCAATGGAAAACCTGTCAAGCAAACGTATTATGAAAGACAACTATTTAATAAAGCGC